CTTGGTAGCAAAGGCAGGCGCACCATGGCGGCAGGGTCCCGGGGCCCAGGTCCGCTTGTCCTGGGCCTGCTGCTGTGCGCGCTCAGCTTGGCTGTGTCCCAGGCTGGGAAGCTGTTGTTGGTCCCCATGGATGGCAGCCACTGGCTAAGCTTTAGCAACGTCATCCAGCAGCTGCAGCAGAGGGGGCATGACATCGTGGTCTTGGCGCCTGAAGCCTCAATACACATTAGAGAAGGAGCGTTTTACACCTTGAAGACCTACCCCGTGCCATACCGAAGGGAGGACTTGGTAGCGTCTTTTATCGACGTTGGGCATAATGCATTTGAGAAGCAGCCTTTCTTGCAGCGTCTGATCAAAACTTACAAGAAGGTCAAAGAGGACTCGGCCCTGTTATTGTCGGGGTGCTCCCATCTACTGCACAACAAGGAGCTGATGACCTCCCTGGCCGAAAGCGGCTTCGATGCTGTGTTGACAGACCCTTTTCTTCCTTGCGGCCCTATCGTGGCCCAGTATCTGGCTCTGCCTGTTGTGTTCTTCTTGAATGCACTGCCATGCAGTCTGGACTATCAGGGTACCCAGTGCCCCAACCCACCGTCCTACGTGCCCAGGAGTCTGTCATTTAACTCAGATCACATGACCTTCCTGCAACGGGTGAAGAACATGCTCATCGCCTTGACAGAGAACTTTATGTGCAATGTGGTTTATTCACCGTATGAGCTACTGGCTTCGGAAGTCCTTCAGAAAGACGTGACTGTCGAGGACCTTATGAGCTCTGCATCTATCTGGCTTTTCAGAACGGACTTTGTGAAGCTTCCCCCCAGACCCATCATGCCCAATATGGTTTTTATTGGTGGGATCAACTGTGCTAACAAAAAACCATTATCCCAGGTGTGTAATTTGAGTGGGAACTTTACAAGCCTATAATCTCACAAGTACTTGGGGTAGATGAACTTGTCACAGATAGATCCTGAATGCCTAGTTTCAAATGCCCTCTTGTTTAACTTCTAGCTTGCAAGTTTCCTAGGTTGAGTTGTAATTTATATCTGTCTTTGGAGTCATCTTCTCGGTTTTTTCTTTGGGCCTGAGGCTTTAGGAAAGTATACCTGAGGCATTTTATTCTGTGGGCTCCAGTGGATTGTCATCAATGAGAGGTAATAAGGGTTAAATGCCATATGCCCAGAGCACTGGGTTCAGGGTTCCTTTGCAGAGAACAAAAGTGTATAGGACTACCTGGCCTTTAATTGGGGCAGTGCAAACAGCTCACTTGTGATACAGCATGGCTGTGGAACAGCACAGCTGTGGAGTAGCTCAATAGTGTTACAGCTCAATTAGGAAATAACAGGGCTACAAGGAGGACCTAGGGTAAGGCACTTCTCTAGCTAGACAATTCTACTCTGCTCTCTCTGCTCTGTTAACCTGCTCTCTTCTGGGGAGAAGTCTTTGGGAGGGGGTGGGGAAGAGACGCAGTCTTGCTTTTTCAGTTTTTGGTGGAAAGGGAAAATACATTTTCTGAGCCAGAGAAGTCCTGCACCTGGTTCCAGATTGGTCTGTCCTCATGCAAATGAGGAATCCAAATCCTTGCAGTTTGAATAGTCCAAAAATGACTGTCCTGATTGGTCAGAATGGAGCCTCCCCGTAGGTGAAGATGTTGACGAGGGGCATATATTTATGGAGCTTCAATTGGACAGGGAAAGTCTCAGTTTCATAGGTTGAAATAGGATTCCAGAAACACTGCAAGCAGGCAGTTCAGTGTGGGAGGCAGGCAGCTTACTGCAGGCTTCTTCCTGAATCAAGGTTTGCATGAGAGGGCCCTGTTTAGAAACAGCTGGGCTCTTTGTAAATTTGAGTCCCGTTAGCCACCTGGAGCCTTTCTCAGTAGGTATTGTCTTTCTCAGGGTCTACATAACCTACACTTCCATTCCTTTAGAGCAGTGGTTCTCAACCTTCCTAATGCCGCGACCCTTTAATACAGTTCCTCATGTTGTGGTGACCCCCAACCATAAAATTATTTTCGTTGCTACTTCATAACTGTAATTTTGTTACTGTTATGAATCGTAATGTAAATATCTGATATGCAGGATGTATTTAGGCGACCCCTGTGAAAGGGTCGTTCGACCCCCAAAGGGGTCGTGACCCACAGATTGAGAACCGCTGCTCTACAGGATATTGTCTTATTCCCAATGCTCTTGATAAAAGTCCTGAGCTTCAAGAGTAAAGATAAAATCTTTGTTCTATAAAGAGAGTCCTCAGAGAAAGTACAGCCTGGCACTGGACATACTTTTGGAATGTCTGAAAGACAAAAGATGGTAGGACAGCATTGAGAGCAAATGAATAGAATGCAAGAATTCCAAGATGTCATTCCCCTCTCAGGGTGAGGGACTGTCTTTATGGACATGTAGAGATTCAGAGATGATATTAATACATATATTTTGGGTCTGGGGAAAATAACTAAACAGAAAATCAGTAAGAATAGAGACTCGAAGATGGTAAGGAGAAGAAAAACTGGTATTTGCTGGTGAGTCTGAATGAATAATGATAAAGTGACATGTTTCCAACATGCTAAGTGCTTATAAGGGTTCTTATAAAACAAAAGACATTTTGGAAGGGGAAAATCTAATAAAAGCCTGGAACTAAAAATACTAAACTCTCAGCCAAAGTAAGGAACTAGTTTAAAGGCCCCATTGGAGCCAGTAGGTACTTTCACTTCAGCAGTGGCCCCGTTTTTTTGAAAGATGATCAGGGGTGAGGGAATCAAGGGTTATTTTCAGTTAACAAACACGTTGCTCTACTCTTTGGCTATTCCAGAGCCTGTGAAATTGCAGCAAGGTTTAGGGGAAGTTTTGCCAAGTACGGGGTGGACCTCACCATTATCGAATCCCATAAAAGCTGGTCTAGGATAGACTTGGCCATGCTAACACAATCTGCGTAGTTGGCCTTTGTGACCTGTCAATGAACTTCCAGGCCATTTAACTATGGCCAGTGCTGATATTTAACTTTGGGTGTTCATGGCCCTAGGGTTCCATTAATGTAAGCACATCCCGCTGGTTGCAGAGTGAGTGTGCAAGCGTTTGCAAGGAGGGGAAATTAGATTAGTCTCTTTCTAGACAATAGTGGTTTCACTCAGGAGTGAAGGTAATGGTTGCTTGGAGCTGAGCTGTATCTCCACAGGAATGAGGGCTGTGGTACATTTCTTAAGGAGAAAGGACCTTGGAAAAAGCATCTTCAGGATGTTCTTGCTGCAAAGCAAAAATACAGCCTGGTGGTGGAGAGGATGATGCTGGCCTCCTTGACTTGTCAGATGAGACCAGTGGCCAAGTCTGAGACAAAGTGTTTGGAGCCAGAGGCCTGAAACAGAGTCTGGGGACTAGACAGTGGGTGTCCTTGGAGGAAGGCTGCTCAGTGTTTTTCCTGGTCATGCTCTGAATCAGGCTTGGCAGGAGCCTCTGAACACTGTGTGTGCTGAGCCCTGTCAGAAGGCTCCTCTATCTCACATCCAGGGTGCCCAATGTCCTGGTCTAACCAGGACTGTCAGGTTTTAACACCAGAAGTCCCATGCCTGAGGAAACCCCTCAGTTTTGGGAAAACCCTGCTACATTGTACAATCTCACTAATGCCCTTGGCATTCTTTGGAGACATATACTAGTAAAACCATTTGGAGATTCTCAGGGGGTTGATTAAATCATTAATAACCTACAGTTGGGGAGGGGATTACCTTATTTATGCCTTATTTATAAATAAGGATTACCTTATTTATAAATTCTAAATGAATTTCCACTGTGAGTATGGCATGTGTAGCCTTTCATGTATGTGGGTGTAGGTGTGTGCTGTGTATGTGTGCATGTGCGTGTGTATGTTTGCTGACAGCTGGAGTTGGCTTTGAAGGTCGGGCACAGGGCAATGTGAGTGAAGATTGTTGCCAAGGGTTGAATCTAGGGGCTTCCTTACTCTCTTTCTGGAGACAGGGCCACCATTCTTAATTTTGCCATTCTTCTGACTGTTGCATCCTTTCAGAGCTTTTGTTTGACACCCATCTCTAAAATTAGTTCCATATTATTTCAGGGATTGGTCTTTGATAGGTCATAATCTGTCATCAATTTACTAGTTGGGAACATCTGCCATCACTGTTCCTCACCCCTATGCACACAGACAGTTTCCTGTGCTGGAGATAGTGGAGTGACCTTCTAGGTGTGACCTTCCTTTGATGACAGTGATGGACACGTTGCTATAAGGAATCAGCTTCTGGAACAGGACATGAGCAGTCAATGAGAATCTTTTGCTGGGTGGGTTGGGACTTAGTGCCTGTTCATCCTTCCCACGGTGGCTTTGGTAACCAAGGTTTACACTTATGCCCTTGATATTTTTTGAACTGCACAGTAGGGGCTCAGATCATTGGTGGACAATTGGTCAGGGTTCCTGTCCCTCACTTTGTATCTCTCAGACCTACAGAGGAGCTTATAGCAAAGATAGGGTCCAACATATTTCTGCATATTCTTCTTGCTAAAGCAGGAAAGTTGATTTGCACTCTTTAGAAAGCTCTTCTCCAGGAAAGGTGGGAAAATGCAAGGCTGGCTGGTTACATTTCAGCACTGAGTTGACATGAATATGATATTTAATCATCCAAACGACTGGCTTCCGTGTGGAAGACTCTGCTATAGACTGTGGGTAGCAAGCATCGTTAAAGGTTGTCTTCTGTTTGTATTTTCCTTGTAAGCCTAATCCTTAGCACTCTGTAGCTTTGTGCTTTTGCTCTATTCATTCTTCCTCCATACAAAGAATATTCCAGAAGCCTTGAAAAACACTACAGGCCTTTACTATAGACCTTCTTAAAGGGGAAGTGCAAGAGTTTTAGAGTCCATAGAAAGCTTACACACACACACACACACACACACACACCTTTCATCACATTCTTAGGAGGAAGATATCTGAGTCACAGCTTAATGTATGCAGTCACCCAAAGAATACAAGAAAACATTAACTGGGCATTTCTCTTTTGCCTCCAGGAGTATGAAGCCTATGTAAATGCCTCTGGAGAACATGGAATTGTGGTTTTCTCTTTGGGCTCAATGGTCTCGGATATTCCAGAGAAGAAAGCCATGGAAATTGCTGATGCTTTGGGCAAAATACCTCAGACAGTAAGGAGATGCTAAACTTTTCTATCTTCATAAGAGCTGTAACCCCAGGCCTCCAGCTCTGAATTGATTCTCTGAGTTGGACTTTAGACTCGGGTTTCCCCTGCCACTCCCCAATTATGAATCCCAAGTTCTTCTTTTTTTTGCAATTCCACTCTTAACTGCTCTGTTAAACTATGGCCCACTTCGCTTGGAAGTCTCATTGTCTCTAAGAGACTCAAGGAGAATCTATTAAAAATAAAATATATAGGATATTGTTTCTTCATATTAAATAAGAATATTTCTCCAAAAAGGTGTTAGTTAGGACAATGGTGTATAATTATATTTCTGCATCCACTCATCTATTAAGTAGACTGTCCCTTGGAGTGCAGAAAAGTGCAAAAATCATAAATATATAGCTTGATGAATTTTCATAAATTCACAAAATGTTAGTAGCCCCCAGAGCCTTCTTAGTCACTACCTCCCTCACCCTCGCCCCCTGGTTATGCTCTTTCTGAAGACTCTACTTTCTAGCTACTAGAGCAGTCTTTATAAAAAATCATATTCTGGTCTTTAAACCCTCTTCTCGTCTGTAAGGTGCTGTGGCGGTACACTGGGACTCGACCATCGAATCTTGCGAAGAATACAATCCTGGTCAAGTGGCTGCCACAAAATGATCTGCTCGGTATGTGGAGAGGATTTAATGTGTAGGTCAAACCAAGGTTAAATTAAGACAGTGGGTTAGTAGTTAGGCACGGCCATTTAGCTGGAAAATGTTATGGCCAGCATATCCCACACTGCTTTTTACCCAGCAGGGCATCTCAACCACATTCTCTCCTGCAGACTTCTATAAGGATCACTGTGGACAGCACTGAGTGTGTGGAGTGCTTTCACAACCTAGTGATGCCAGAATGTGACACTCAGAGACCTGACCACCGGCACCCCTCCCTCTTTGCTTCCCAGGTCACCCGAAGACTCGTGCCTTCATCACACATTCTGGCTCCCATGGTATCTATGAAGGAATATGCAATGGCGTTCCGATGGTGATGATGCCTCTGTTCGGCGATCAGATGGACAATGCAAAGCGCATGGAGACCCGGGGAGCAGGAGTGTCCTTGAACGTCCTGGAAATGACTTCTGAAGATTTAGAAAATGCCCTCAAAACTGTCATCAATGACAAAAGGTAAGAGAGAAGGTATGGAGGAATACTGCTTGTGTTTTGCCCATTCCATTCACAGTAATTATTCAAACAAATACATGAAAATCTATTTATAAGTAAGATCATTTGGGATTATTATTCATTTTATAAAAGCACGCTTGATTCCTATGGAACCATGGGAATGATTTTAAATATTATTTTCTCTCATACATTTATAACTTAATTTAAAAAATAATGTCACTATAATAGATGCCTGCTCTATAAGTTCCTGCAAAGAGAGAAATATTCCATTACAGGAAGCATAGTGTCCATAAAATAGAAACAAACCAGGTGCTTCAAAGTACAGCTTTCCCCAGCACTGAAATCTGTGAGAAATTTTGTTCTTTGGGATTTATACATGGGGGCTCATGTGAAATCACTTATAATGAAAGGCAAATAATGAAAAATGCTCACTCATTTATAGATAATAAAGACCATTATAAACTGATGGAAAAAAATAGGTACAGAGGCAGAGCAGCATTGAACAGACTGTCAAACTACAGCGGGAAGGCCGGGGAGGGTTGCGGGTCGGGTAAGAGATCAACCGAAGGACTTGTATGCATGCATATAAGCATAACCAATGAACACAAGACACTGGGGGGCAGGGGAGGCCGGGGGAAGGTCAAGGGGAAAAAAGGAGACATATTTAATACTCTTTGTAATACTTTAAGCAATGAAACAAAATTTAAAAAAAATAAAAATAAAAACGTGAAAAAAAATAATGAAAAATGAAGACAGGTTTGTTCAAATGTGGCTGAAGATGATTCCAACGGCAAAAGCCATCAGATCAAATGGTCTCTACATGAAATTTATTGTCAAGCTCACTAGTAATAGGCTGATTAAAACCTTATGGAAATAAGGGATACCCAGAGGTAGATTTCATCCAACAGTTAATAATGCGTGTGCAACTACATTTCTGCATGTGTGGATGCATGCATGTGTGTGTGTGTGCATGCCTGCCCATGAGAGTGTCAAGAGCTTTCACCTGTAATTGCTTCATTTCAGAAAAGACATCAGGCAAGAGGGCAGATGTAAAACCTGGGAGTGTGTTCAGATAGGAGGAGATAGGACATGGGCACACACTGAGCCTGGACAAGGGAAAAGGGCGGGGAGATGATAGGGCTTGCACGTGTGTGTGTGCGTGTGTGTGTGTAATGCCAGTGGATAAAAAAGAAACATCCACAGAACCCCAGGGCAAAGTGCCCAGTGTGTTGGGTGACAACCTACCCAGAGCAGTTAGTGTGGTTGGCATCCCTTCATTACAATTGGCTGCTTCATGGAGAGAAGCCAACTTCTCCCCATGTGCTCATGAAATTTATTTTCTATGTTCACACTAGTAATATAATTTTGATCTTTTGTTCAGTGGTATAGATACCTATTTGAAACCTAAAAATGACTTGGTAGAAGTTGTTTAGTACTTGATTGTTTTTTCAAAACACTAATCCATCAGCTCAAGTTATTAATTATCTTTATCTATTCATTGTTGAGCCATCTATCTGGTTGTGAATCTCCATATTTCCAACACTCTAAGCTTAGAGGATACCTACATGATATAAAGAAAATTGGAAAAAGTTTAAAGAGCAGATTATGCAACCAGGCCATAACAGGTGCTCAATAAATATTGAATGAATGAATGAAAGTCCAAGGAAATCTGTCTTAAGAGAAATTTTATATATAAGAAAGATGTTTAACTGAACTTATGGAACAATATTAATATTACACTATAGTAATATATCCAAATAAAATGACCGACATGTTTAAGGACAGCAATTATCATAATTGCTTCTGAATAGAAGTGCTTTTTTATCTTTCCTCTCTTTTTTCCTTCCCTTTTCCTTTTGTTTCCCTTCCTTCTCTTCCTCCTCTTCCTCCGCCTTCTCTTTCTTCTCCTGGTGCATGTATACTAAGCATTGCAATATCTAACCCATTTTGAATTTGGATGTTCTGATTCAGCTATCAACACTGCCAAATTCACAGGAATCCATTTTGCTTTAACAGGCTGCATAGACACAACCTCATACAAAATTTAGATCAGTTAGGTTGACAGTTTACCATTGTTTTGGAGATGGCACTTAAAAATGGCTTTTACTTTGGCTAGGTGTGATTGCTTACACATTTGAACAAGAAATCATTCATAATTTCTGACATGACCTTTTCTTTATTCCTTTATCTTACTATAAATAACATATAATTAATTTCCTACAAAAATATCACTGAAAAGAAAAGAAGAAAAGTAACATGCAGGTTTCAAACAATTTAAAATTGTAATTTTTTGGCTTCCAGTACCCTCCCCTCCTCTCCCTTCCCTTCCTCTCCCCTCCCCTCCTTTCCCTTCCCTTCCCTTCCCCTCCTCCCCTCCCCTCCCCCTCTTCTTTTTTTTTTTTTTTTTATCTTTATTTCTATCTTTTTTTTTTTCTTTATTTTTTTTTCTCTTTATCTCTCTCTCTCTCTCTCTCTCTCTCTCTCTCTCTCTCTCTCTCAATAAAGAACATTGTGTGTGTGTGTGTGTGTATTTGCTATTTATAATAGAGATATATTTTCTCTACCAAGTTTGGAAAAACCAGATGTGCAAGCATACAAGCATAAGTGGAGGTTAGTTCACTGCCTTCGATGTTCCAGGCGTTAACATAACTGTCTGTGTTTAGCTATAAGGAAAACATCATGCGCCTCTCCAGCCTCCACAAGGACCGCCCCATTGAGCCACTGGACCTGGCTGTGTTCTGGGTGGAGTTCGTGATGAGGCACAAGGGAGCCCCGCATCTGCGCCCCGCGGCCCACCTCCTCACCTGGTACCAGTACCATTCTTTGGACGTGATTGGCTTCCTCTTGGCCATTGTGCTGGGAGTTGCCTTTGTTGTCTATAAATGCTGTGCCTTCGGCTACAGAAAATGCTTTGGGAAAAAAAGGCGAGCTAAGAAATCTAACAAATCCAAGGCACACTGAGAAATGGGTGAAAAATGAGGTGATCCAAATTTACAGTCAGTGTGAAATACATGTCATGCTCATTGAAGAAAACTTTACTGTAAGTTAGACACCCAGAGTGTTTTTTTAAAATAAAAATAATTTAATTGCTAGTCACACCTCCAGTTAGAAATATTTGAAAATGTTTTCTGCCCCCTTCAATACCTTTCATCTGGACTATATTTTCTACCGTACAAAGGACTTGCCAAGAGGTTTGGACAGGTCCCTCCTTCACTCTGCATTACTTTTCTTACTCAGAAATGGGGCCTGTTTGGGAACCACTGCTGTCCCCGCCTGAGATGACAGTTTTAACATCATCTGGCTTTTATAGACTATTGTGATTAATTCCTTCAGTGTAATGGCAGGTCCTAATTTATTCCTATACTTCATAGATATCACTTTGCATATTTAAAGAAGAAAACCGTTATTCCTTTAAAGCCTAGTGCCTTGTACTTGAATGAATGAATGATACAGAGCCCTTGGAGAACAAAGTATGATTTCTTTCTTTGGGGGAAAAGAGTAATGTATGAAATTGATAGGTAATGTGTTATAAAGGATAACCATTGCTTGTGCCAAATGGATCTGAATTTGATAAAAGCCCAAAGTGTAATGTCTGGCTAGTATATTTTTCTCTGATGTGTGTTTCCCACAACTAAAAACATATCAATAAATTTATATAAATTATATTTCTTAGATATTCTTTTTTTCATTGATGTTGCTTTTATTTATTGTTAAATTACATGTTCCCATTACAAAAGTAATGTATGATTATGGCAGAAAACTTGAAAAATACAGAATTGTACACACACACACACACACACACACACACACAATAAAAATCACCTGAGATCCTCAGAAATAATTACAGTTGCTATTTTGGCAAGTGCACATAAAATATTGCAGCTATGCCCTATATTTGCAGCGTTGTTTACCATTCTTTCTCCACTTCATACTATCACAAACTTTCTCCCAGGTCTTATAGAAACATTTCATTTGTTTTTAATAGCCAAGGACTATTCTATTGCATGGATATAACAGGATGTATTTAACCACAACTTCTGGGTGGATCCACTTTTATTTAAAAAAAAAAAAAAGCTAAGTCTGAGCCTATATTTCTGACTATTTCCGTAGGAAAGACTTTACAACTAATCAGTGGTTGTCTCAGTTTGGGTTTCTCTGCAGTGATGATTCAGGTCAAGTAGTTTATTTGGGAACTGAAGGTGCATGGGCAGTGGGCTGGGGCGTGATAGCCACCAAGAAGCTGGCTCTCCCTGGGTGACAGAGCTGAATCCCCCTGGTGGATGCTGGGAGCCAGCGCACAAAATGCAGCCAACTTACGCTGGGGAGAAGCAAGGCCCTTGGGTATCTGAACACTTGCTTTGCCAGTGATCGGCTGTTCCCAACTGGTTACTAATTTCCTGCACTTCCAGTCAGCATGGTGCCTCTGGAAGACAGAGAGCCCCCGGGGAGGGAAACGCTGTGCGGTGTTGGAGGTGGCTTTATGCACTAAAGGGAGAAGAACACAGGACGTCTGGGTGGGGCACTGCCGCTTCTCATTGCAAGTGGTTTGAAATATTCCCAAACTGCATCCTGAGATGGTGTGAGAAAGCCAGGTTCCCACACCTCTGCAATACAAAGTAATATACTGCCAAAAAAACAACAACATCAGTTTGTTAAGAGAAACGTGGGAACTTGTTTTAAATTTGCTCCTATTTTATTATTACTATGAAAAGTTGAATTTTTTACAAGCTTATGAGCCATTTGTATTTCTGTTTCATTCCTTTGCCTATGTTCCTCTGGGGTGTACTGCCCTGAGGGTTGGCTAAGAGAGCGTTCTGCCCTAGTGAGAATATTCTCTGCCATGTCCTGGAAGTATTTTCTCTGCTTAATTATTTTTGCCTTTAATTTTTTTTCTCACACCTCTGCTTGTCGCTTTGTGTTATTTGCAAACGTTTTAAACATACATGCTTCAAGTTGGAGCTGGGTGTCACGTGGATAGCTAGGGCTTCTCCTGACTCTGCCTCATTTGCCCCTTCCCCAGGCTGCTTTTGGAACACAAGCTCTTCACACCAGCTCCCTCCCCCCACAGTTTTAGACCCTGTGGTGACTCTTGCATTGGGTCCACCCTCTTTCTAGTCACTTCCCGTCCACCCAGTGACCATATCCTGGCCCTGCTGCCCCTGCTCCATGCCCCCTCATCTCTCTCAGGGATCCTGAGCTGCTCTGACCTCTCACGGGCTCCTCTGCACCTTCATGTTTCTAGTCCCACAAGTAAGAGAACCCAACTCTAGACACCTTAAGCAAGTAGGGGGTCTTTTTGTAAGGAGATGGGGTTCCTAGGGACTCAGGCTCATGGCCAAGCGTACAAAAGGGCTGGGATGATTGGAGCCTCTCTTGTCTTCTTCTGTCCTTACATGCTCTGAGTGACAGCTTTGCTCTTCCCCATTCTCTTGTCCTATTCTGCTCCTCTGTCCCCACCTCATTCACAGGGATGCCCTTCCGTGAGGACAGGGACCTTCTTGCTGCCATCCAGAGTCTGGACGACAGGAAGGTGGGGCCTTTGCATCCGCTTGTGACCCTCAACAGCGCCCCCTTAAGACAGCCATTGGGGTCTCTGAGGTTAGGGACCCCCCCATCATCCCCACCATGGGGGCATCTCACACTGGAATGTCCTGCGACCCTGACAGCCCTGCCTGTGGGCTTTGAAATCAGGGCAAGAGCTGTGTTAAGCCCCTGAAAGCCCGTTCCATTCTGGGAGCACTGTCCTGCCCCCTCCAGAGTCACCTACTGGTGGCCGGGCCCTGAGGGCCAGCTTTCTGATTCATTAACAGGGTATGCCTTGCTGTGAGGAAAGGGACCTTTTTGCTGCCATCCAGGGTCTGGACCGAAGGTGAGGTGTTTGTGACCTGTTGTGACCCTCTTTGGCATTCATGTGGCCCCACTGCCCTAACCACTTGACCACTTCCGGCTGTTGACCTGGCCCCACCCTCTCGTTCACGTGATCACTTCCAGCTGTTCACCTAGCCCCTCCCCCTTGTTGACTTGACCACTTCTGGCTGGTCACCTGGGCCCTCCCCCTTATTCCCGAGTCCCCGCCCCTATGTTCACCTGAGCACTTAGCCACATTGGACTGGTTGCTTTGCTCCTCATGCCCCGGGGTGGACTTCCCAATCTCTGGAAGTTTGGGTAAGTTCCTAACACCCACAGCCTCAGATCACCTTCTGCTCACAGGCTGCCTCCTACCCAGCGGGGAGGGCTGCAAGAAGGGGGATGCCACCCCCCCTTTCAGACAGCCATGGAGGTCTCTGAGGCTAGGGACCTACCTCCCTTAGTCCCCACCATGGGGGCATCTCACACCGAGTGCCATGTGGCCCTGACAGCCCTGCCTGTGGGTTTTGAAATCAGGACAAGAGCTGTGGTAAGCCCGTGAAATCCGTTTCATTCTGGGTGCAATGTCCTGCCCCTTCCAGAGTCACTTATTGCTCACCGGCCCTGAGGGCCAGTTCCTGATTTCTCAACCCCAAGATCCTATAGGACACTGACTGGGTTCTGTCTTGCCCAGAGTTCTGAATTCCTGGGAGGAAGAATCTGATTAGTCCAGCTAGACCAGGCGTCCTCTCCTTTTCTAATCAGGAGTGTTGGGGGAGGGATTACAGAGGGAAACCGTGACCACCAGGAGCCCATAACTGTGACCCGAAGGGTCAAAGAAGAGGGAAACTTGTCTCTGGAGAGGTGCCACCAAATGTGTCCACTACATACTCACATTTCCCCCACTTCTTGCCTTGGCCCTTTTCATACCTTTAAGCTCACAGGTTTCTACAATGTTTTCTTATTTTCAAGTTAGTTCCCTTAGAAATGGATGTGGGAAGCTCTACAGAGTGAAAGCACAAGAGTGGCTGATTTTATGAATGGATTGCATGTGAATCAAATATTCCTGTCACGATCTGAGAAATAAAAAGCATTTTCACTTTGAAAAACCAAGCAGAGTCCACGTCTTTCTCCTTGATTTCATTGTCTTTGTGTTCTCTCTAAATAATGTATTCAGGGGCATCTCATTTTTTTTTTCTGTCCTTACACACTCACCATGTGTATAAGAAAAAATGGTCATATTCACCACTCCCACTAGCCATGTCCTTGCAGCTCTTCTGGTTAAGAAGAGAGATCTATTACCCTAGCCCAGTGGTCGGCAAACTGCAGCTTGCGAGCCACATGCGGCTCTTTGGCCCCTTGAGTGTGGCTCTTCTACAAAATACCACGTGCGGGCGTGCACTTACAGTGCGATTGAAACTTCGTGGCCCATGCGCAGAAGTCGGTATTTTGTGGAAGAGCCACACTCAAGGTGCCAAAGAGCCGCATGTGGCTCGCGAGCCACAGTTTGCCGAACACTGCCCTAGCCCTTGCATCTGGGCTGGCCTGTGACCTGCATTGATTAATAGAATATGGCAGAGGTGATGGTGCCAATTCTAAGTTTAGGCTTCAAGAGGCCTTCATGTTTCTGCTCACTCTCTTGGAAGCCCACCTAGCTGCTATGAGACACAACTATCCCAATCATCCTAGTCACTTCAGCCAATAGCTAGCCAACTGCAAGATCCCTGTGTGTGAGGCCATCCTAGACCAGCCAGCCTTCACTTAACCCACTGGCTACTGCAGATGTATGAGTGATTTCAGTTGTGCTTGGTTGGACAAGGCGCAGAACAACAGAACCACCCAGCTCACCACCCATTGACTTGCAAGCACTAATAAGTGGTTTTGAAGAGGCTTGTTACACAGTAGTAGCTGATACATTCACTTTCAGCTCTAAATTCATGACATCTTATGTGTTGCATCTTAGACCCTCAGAAGACAAAGGTGTGTCCTATCTACCTCTGTATCCATCACAGAATGGGAAGCCCCGCTTAACTGCTGTGGAATTGCAACCATGTCACTTAGAGTAATCGTTGGAAGAAAAAAGAAGGCTTAGAGGGGAGAGGGAGGAGGTAGGACAGAGGGGTCTGTGAAAGATGGGGCTTGTGATAATTGTCTCCTCGTGTCTATTTCATATCAGTCAATATTGTTCCGAAGGGCAGACCAAGGAACAATGCATACTTTTTATGGGAAGATGTGCTTGGCACTATAGAGAGGAAGCTCATCTTCTAACCACCCAAAGTCAATGAAGTAGAAATGGGTTAATGAGGGTAATGAGCTTCCTGGTATCAGAGGTGTCCAAGCAGAGGCAGAGGAACTCACTGCCTCTTGGCAGGGCAGGCAAACATTGAGTGTAATTTTGACTGAGCACCAAGGCCCAGATGGCTGTGAGTCTTGTTCTGTTGCCCTGTAATGCATGAAAGGCTTCTGAGGCCAATATTTCATTGCTCAAACTGGTAATCTGGACTCTCTCACAGCTGTAAGTGGCAGGGAAATCCTTTGGGCCTCACTTTTGGTTTAAGGACACAAGGTCCCTGCCTTCCTTGAGGTTCTTTATCTTCTAAGTATTCTGCCAGTGGAAACCCCCTTCCTCATCCTGCAAGACACCTAATCCTCAGGGAGGAGTCCTCTCCCCAGGACTTTCTGTCACCCTCCTCCCCTCCAGCTGCCCAGACCACACCTCTCCACCCTGGGGCTCTATGACAGTATCCCCAGGCTGTGAAGCACCTCCCTCTCACCATTTTCCTCTCCCAAACAGGCCACCGTACTTCACCAGACATGTGGGTAAT